GTCACGGGATAATCACGTGTGTAATAATACAATTTTTTAAAAGTCACATCAGATGATCTTATGAAAAGAGCTGCATCCGCCCATATGACAATTTTCTACGTTCTAAATTCACTTAAATTTTGTACGTGTGTAGTTTTACTCAGACATTAAACATATAATTGGTGTACCTGTCACACATTTCGGAACCATGTTATAAGTCATTCACGTGATCATAAAAATTGCTAAAAAATCTTTTTCTTTTTTCTTTATTTGATATACACTTTTTTTCATTATATGTATAATAATAGATAGATAACTTATTCTTTGGATTCACTTTAATAATAAATTAGTTAATTAAGATAATTAAGATAATATAATATATGTGTTTTATATTTTTTTTTTTTTTTTTTTTTTTTTTTACTGTTGATATCAATTTTTTACATTGCATAAAAGAATTCTTCTTCATCATCTTCCTCATTATCTACATTATGATCATTATTCCATTGTATTTCTTGTTGAGGTGTTACATTACCACTATTTCTTCCTCCTACACCACCTCGATCTATACCGTTAAGCGAGGGAGGTACTTTATGTACATTACCATCCCTATCCGTAAATTCTCCCATAAAATAATAACTAGGCATAATGCTAGGATCCGCTTTTTCCACGGCGACAAACTCGGCTCCCTTCACCCTACCTAAAGGTTTGGTCTCACCGTATAACATTTTACCATCTTTACTTATTGATATATTACGTTTAAGTAAGGGAACCGGCGCTTTAATAATTTCCTCCATATTATTATCCGAATAATTATCAAGATCGGTGGCGCTATTATTATTTGATGGAACCGATGATATAGATTTTTTTGACAAGGATTTCTTTTTAAGTCGTTTTAATGATGATTGTTTTTGTAATGTCGGAGGCTGTGACGGCTCATTATTAAAGGTAGGAGGTTTATTATAAATTTGTCTGTTATTATTCGGTAATAGTGGTGTTGGCGGTGTTGGCGTTGGTGTCCGTGGTGGTGATGTTGGCGGTGTCGGTGTCGATGTCAGTTGATATTGACGCGGCTGCTTGTCTTCGTAACCGAAATTATGACTACTGCTCACGCTGTTGGTTTGACTATGCCGAATTGCATTCATATTAACACCGATTCCAGCAGTACCGGACGTCAAAGTACTAAATTTTGTAGCGGTGGTGACTTGTGATGTATTTACACTACTTAATCCCATATTCGTATTGGTATTAAATGAGGTTCCACCGGCATCTGTACCAACAAATCCCTTCCTTGGATAAAATATAAGTATCAACACGATCCATTCAACCACGGATGCGAAATTGACGTGCGCAATCAACAAGTCACTAGGAACGTATTTACGTACGTTATTAAACGATCGGTAGAGGAAAAAAAAAATGAGAGAGGGAGAGAGGAAGGTGAACTTACCTTGCGAGTTTGGAATTATTAATAACTTTAGCCGTCGTGAACTTGTCAATGCCTAATATGCAAAATGCTGCGCTCATGATGGCCAGTGCCGAGGTTAACAATTTGTTCATGTCAATAAAATATCTTATCTTTGCGATAATGTTTGATGAATTCTTATACGTTGAAATGGTCTCAATTAATCTACGAAACTTTTGATGCGTACGCACTCCAAGCAATGTTAAAATAAATAGTTGCGCTGCATATACGACTTGCGGTATCGTCTAAATGATATCCAAAGAAAATTACAATCGGTGATTAGTAAAGTTTTATATCTTGGGAGCTCATGAGGACTTTTTTAGGAGGACGTGACGCATTTTAAGCAGTTACCTCTAACAAGACGTCATTATTCTTAAATACGTATGGTAGTACGGGAAACGACCCAACGCAAATCACCCCCCACACGATGTGAAATGAGAATTCCTCTCTCGACATGAATGGCGTTTGCGCGATTGAATTAACTAAATAATTCCAAAAACATTGTAATAAATACAAAATTATCCTACAGGAAAAGGAAGAAGAGATTTTTTTTTTTTAAAAAAAAAAAAATAAGAAACGTCAATTCATCACAATTCATCATAAATGATAAAAAAGAGAAACTCACATTTGAAAGCCGATTCCAACCATTAATATGTAATAACTTGGTAAGACCCACAATTGGTGTTCTTCTGACCATAACCATCTTGGTTTTGCCCTCATCACTTCGTCTGCACCCGGAAATAAATATAATCCTTCCACATATTTTATTTTTGTCTAAAATAAAAATACATTCCAACCCAAAGAATTAACGTATGGAGAAAATCAAAGAGAAGAAAAACAATAGTTCTCGGTCCTTCATCACTTACTGAGACTATATCGTAAAATGATTCTAATGGCAATGCAAATAATATGAATATTGTAACAAATGATTTTAATTCAAATGATATTATGTGCTTAAGTCTCAATGCTGAGAACCCATCACACTATGAGATCAAGAAAAAAGAAAGGATGATTATGCTTCAATTTGGAAATCAATTCAAAAGAAAGACCTCAGCTTCGAAAAGGAGACTTCGATAATTACCCTCCATACATGTAAAAGAAACCAAATCCATATATACACCTCATGAACCGATCGTTCTACAAGGTTCAATTGAAACGATTGAATATTATTAGCACGCGGATACACATTTTTTGAAATTTTTTTTTTTACTAGATATCTCAAACTTACCAAGGAATGAGTAATCACTCATCTGCATTAATTTATCATTTTCATTTCTAATGTTATCAATTTCATTATTGCTCGCCATATTTATCGGTAAACACGCATACAAATGACAATTTTTTTTTTAAAAAAAAGAGAGAGTTTCGCTCTATTTTGTAATAAATAGAGCGTAATATATAATTAAAACCAATTCGAAAAAAAAACGGATGAAAAAAACGTCCTTATAAGGATATTGAGAGTTTTAGACAGGAGAAAAGGAATATGTATGTATAAGTATGTAAATGTGTATAATAGGAAATTATGATAAATTTATGGAAGGATAAATAAATGATAAAGAGTAATTATTCTTGAAGAAAAAGAAAAAAAAAAAAACTTCAAGAGATTAATAAAATGAAAGCAAAGGTAAACAAAACTGCACCATTTGCACAATTGTATGCGGTACAAGGTAAGGAATTGTCGTTAAAATCTTGATATATATTGTAAAGGCGTAGTTCCAAATATAGAAAGTATGAACAAAAGAGTTTGAAAAATGAAACTCCGTGTTGGTTTTGAACTATTACTAAAGAAGATATGAAATAATGGTAAAAATATTTTTTAAATAAATTACTTTACATTAATTCTAAATGAGTAAAATTATAAAGAAGCTTAATAAAGTTAAGGGGAAAAAAAAAAGATTATTATATATTTGTAACCATAGATTTAGATTAGGAGTGAGAAATCTAAACTGCGGTGGGGAATTAATTTCATTATCAGCTATTCTATTTATACAAAAAAATCAACTGTAATGTATGCAATAAAATGAATGTTATGGTTACGCGCGATAAAGTTTCTATAGCGGATGTTTGATTTGTATGACCATGAAATGTTTTCACTAAAAAAACGAGAAAACAAGTAAGTTAACAATCGTTTTTTTTTTTATATATATAACGTCTAACCCTTGAAATATTTTTCTTTTAAGGCTGCTTATTTTTAAGAAATTTCTTATGGTAAAGTAATTCAATATGTATGAATAGTGATGTAATTTGTGCGATAACAAAAAAAAAAAATATTCAGTTGCGCTAATTTCTTTTTGTGGATTCAGATTAATTGTCTTTTTTTATTCTTCATTTCGGTCTAAAGAATGGACAACCATAAAAAAAAAAAATCTGCAGCTTTGAAGCCTGCAACCTTATCATCAAAGTGTATCTTGAAAACTTTAATTACATTGAGATACCTTTAAGATACAAGTTGATGATAAATTCATAAATTTACCGTTTATTTGATGGCCCGCCAAAAAGTTTATCATTAATTACATATGGATTGATTAAATAAGTTTAGCGCTATTTTCAACAAAGGCCTCAATAAAGACCTAGTAAATCAGGACCTTTTCCTTTTATCAATTTTCTAAATAAAAAAAGATTAAGATATAAATAAGAATAAAGGTAAGGGCACCTGATAAATTTACGTTTTCATATAATTATCAACCGATGAAAAAAAAAAATGTAACTATAATCGAATATATGCTACAAATAAATAATTTTATTGGCCTCTCGTAAATTATTTCGCAACTTGCCTACCTAAATAGAAAAGCTCTTAGGTATGTTGACATTGTGAACAACTTTGCTTGTAACACTCGCTGATATGATTCCGAACATGCGAAACTCCGATTCTTCAAACGTTCATAATGACCAAGTTCAAGAACCCATGTGTACAGTTTACAGACGCTGACAATAACGGCTCCTAACGAAAATCGTCTTGCAAATCGTGTGCGGAGTTCGTCTCCAAAAAAAAGATTCCACACAAAGAATTTTCATAAAAAGGATCGTCCTCAATTCACAAGTCATCAAATCATTTAATGTCATGTGGTGCTTTGAATGTTTTATTATTTATTTATTTATTATTTACAAGTTGGTTACATTGCAGGTGCGCTAAACCGTTGTAAATTTAATTTTCATTTTCCATTCACCAATCATGATTTGACTTTTATATTTTTTAAATCAAAAAAGAAAAAAGTGATAGACACCAAATATGGTAAAATCATGATTAGAGCAATGGTAGTTTTTTTCCTACCATACCAATTTTGGAACACAGCTATCTAAAAACCATAACCAGAAATATTCTTATTGGGGATATTTCATCATTCCAGGTGACGGTTGTTACCAAGCTAAATTCTCTCACGAGGAGAGAACGACCAAGTACCCTGGTATGGTAGGTGCATTGTGATTGATTAACCTTCAAACTTATCTTTCTTATTGGTTGTATTTTTTCATCACCGTCGAACTCCTATGAATAGAGGCTGTTCATTACTCGGCGCTTATTCTCAAAGTATTATTCGATTTGTATCAATAGCGAGTCTGGAGAACTCGTATATATGTACTTGGATCACACGAGTCCCTTCATTTTGCATATCAAGACTTCCCAAAGACAAGATATTAATATGATAAAGCAAAAAAAAAAAAAAACTTCTTAGGGGTTTTTATTCACTCTCTCTTCCAAGGAAATTTCATTCAAATGTGGGACTACGGGAACTGCTGTTAACTTCGCTTCCAGAATTTCAATAAACTTTTTAACGCAATTAGGGTTTGGGTAGGGTCTTTGAACTTACACACTGAACGAATAGCTTTCATAATTTATAAGAAAAGTTTTTCTCTTATGAATACCATCAATGAGTTGATTGTACATAATAATACAAAAGTATGGTCGATGTTATGCAATAAAAATTCATAACAATATATTTTATTTGAACCTTTTTATAAAGGAATTTTCTACTCAAACTATCAAGTATTATTTATCCTAACGTTGATCCGACCGACAATCTTTTTTCAGATGAAATCACCCAAACTTCAGATGTATCTAATTTTGAAACTTTTCATTTTAAAACTTTAATGAATGGTTTTCATCCAGTAATTCGAACTTTATTTTTTTTTTTAAAAAAAAATGTGAAGATTTGATTTTATTAACCTTTTTTATTATCTATTTAAGATGATCCGACATTTGGAAAATGATTGTAGCACTCTTCGCGCGCCTTCCGAAAACGGCCTCACGATTTTACGTACCCTGCGATAAAGAATTAACATACACCCGAACGCCATGAAACGCGCACTTTATATAACATTCAGCCCATCATGACCACATTGAGCCCACCGAAAAGATCACGCCATCTCCGTATTTAATTCACCACACCTAAGTTCACTGCCCACGTTGACATATATATATATACATTCTATCTAGTTTGTCAAGTTTTCTTTAAAATCATATATTCAAAAAAGGTAATATGATTAATCGGACGACGAACATATGATGGTTTTGAAAATTATTGCTATATTCGAAACGAATATGACTTCATATTAATTGATCCAATTTCACATGATTATCATTTTGGAATTGTGAAACACAAAACACAATTTTTTTTTTCGACCAAAAATTTCACGCCTAGAATAAGGATTCTACTAATGCATCATAAATGAAGGGATCACCTCCCCTTATTATATCAAATTTTTGCCAAGATGTCAAAATTTTGGCTGCTCGATATTTTATCGAAATCTTCTGCATCATTTGCTGCAAGACCATGTATGCGAATTATTTTTTTTTCAACATGATTATTTAAAATTTGCCAAGGTGAAAAGATTTGTTAGGTTTTTGCGATGAATATTTCGGAGGCAAAGTAAGTGATATATGCGTTAGTCATGTTACGATCGTCCTTAATTTAAAACGTCATTATCATTGATGGTCGGACGGAAATCGTTCATCTTACAAACAAGTCCGGTGATTAGTTTTCTACCGATCGATGTTTGTTAGATATTTCGAACCAATAAGAATCATTATTAGTATTCTTTTTAACGATATGGATGTTAAAAATATTTTAATGTTTTATGTTTTTTATTTATTACTAATAAAAATAAATATTTCAAGTTCCAATATCGTTCAAGCGCTTTTTTTTTTTTATTAAAGAAAAATAAATATAATAAAATAAAAAGGATGAAGTAAATAAATAAAAAAAAAATTAGAGATTCTATTAATAAATTCATCACATTTTATTTTACAAGGTCATTTTTCATCCTTACGTTTCAATAAATGAAAAAAATATAAAACGATACGATCAGACAAGTGTAAAAAAAAAAGAAAGAAATTGGTTGTGGCTGAGGATCAGATCAGCTCCTTAGGCTCATGCATTTGAAATAACCATCTGTAATGAAAAAAAAAAATAATTTTTGTTGTCCAAATCCAAATGCGGGATGTGCCGCAGTCATCAATAGTTTCAAAACAGCTCGGGCCGCACTCTTTTTTTTTTTTTTTTTTACCCCTGAACAAATCAACAGAACTCCCTGTATTTCTTTTCCGTGTAGAAACAAGATTTAATTTTAGTCTCACATTCAAGTCTCCACATTCAAGGAACAAAAATTGTCAAGATGTGCGTTATTTACTTGTGTTATAATTAAGGACCAAGGATTTACTAGTATATAAAGAGAATAATGATGAGTGATACCATATTACATGCAGAGTTACCAAACAAAAAATGTTTCCAATGACAATATCAAGCATCAAACCACGCGAAACTAAAATAATGTAACAAGAGTGAACACAAAAAAAAAAAAAATAACGAATTAATCTTTATAGCGTTTTCTTTAATAGTTTAGATTAAATAATTATATTGTTATATAAACATAAATGGATTTGAAAAAAAAAGGTGATTAAAAAAAAAAATAAAATCGTTACAAGAAACAGTTTGAAACCATACTTGGTTTGTTTCCCGTTCATCCTTTCCTTTAGTTTTTTATTTATTTATTTATTTATTTTTTGCATTTACACTCGCACAAAAAACCTTTTATTTTTTTTTCCCCAACACAAACACATTTATTTTTTTTATACATTCCTTTTTATTTGTTT